GTGTGTCACCTTGTGTGTCTGTACCAAGGCCAAACATTCCAGGGGGCGGAGACGTCTGATCCAGGGGGCGGAGACTTCTGATCCAGGGGGTGGAGACTCCTGATCCAGGGGGCGGAGACTCCTGATCCTGGGGGGCAGAGATTTCTGACACGGGCCATTTGGGTGATTTCTGTTATCATTATGATTTAAAAAGGAGCCAAACAACTATTTGATAATAAATGGCTTCATATGATCATCATCCAATAAAAGAGCATTTTTTGGCATGATCAGTCATATTTTCAATATCAATGCTAAAATTTCACAATTTCTTCCAGGGAATGCAAACTTTTGAGCACAACTGTATGTAAAGCGCTGCGTAAATTGAAGGTGCTATAAAAGTGCCTGTAATAAATAAATAAATACATTCTAAAAACAAATTATTCTAACATAAAGAGTATGAAGAAACAAAATTATTTATTTAACTAATGAGTCCTAAATGAAACAAAACAATTTTTTTTAGCGTACACATCTCTAGTGCAGTATATAGCTTGAGTCTGTTACAGAACTGTTTATAATTAAAACAATAAAAATATATATATATATATATATATATATATATATATATGTATATATTTATTTATTTATATATATATATATTTTTTTTTTTTTTTTTCTTCCATTAAATAAATAAATAAATGGGTTTTAAATACAGCTAGAATAAGTACCCACATCTATTTTCTTCATTTATTTACCGTAGATTAGATTCTTTAAAAAGTTTGAATGGCTATTTGCTGAAATAAACATGTAATAGCAATAATATCAATATTAATAATGACACTTATAGGTGATATTTACTTATGGTGTCCTTAAAGTAGAGTAGAGCATGAGTAATTAAAAAAAAAAAAAAAAAAAAAAAAATATATATATATATATATATATACACACACAGCATATATATACTCACCGGCCACTCTATATATATAATATTATAACATAATATATAATCTGTACAAATTCTGCTCCACATTTGACTCCATATTTGTCTGTTTACCATATGCAACCAGCAAGGGACAAACCTCATCTGTTTGTCAGCTTAGACCAGTTACCTTCCATAGGTCATGAGTGCAAGGGGTCTCTTTTTGAGACCATTACTGTTTGATTATTAGATTTTGAGACCATTACTGTCCAATTAGAAAATTAACTATGACATTATCAGAGGTGTTTAACATAGTTTAGGTTGTGAGACGTAGGCCTTTATTCTGTCTTGATTCTTATTTTGCTTATTATCTCACAGGGTCCTGGTGGAAAACCCTTTCCAATGCTCTTGCGAAGTACGATGGATTCAGATTCGTCGAGATGAAGGTTGGGCTGACCTTGGCAACCAAAGTTTGAGCTGTTGGGATCACGGTTTAGAGATCTTCATAGAAGAGGCCAATATCTCGCTGTGCGGTATACATCCCATTTTTCTATAAGCAGGGTAGAAAATGAAGCAATATAAACTTTAGTAAACCTTTAAGTGGCACAAGATTTAATTTAAAAAAAAAATGTTTTTGGCAAATGACTTCACTGTCTCGTATTTCTCATCAGATCGGCCAGAAGTTTCCATCATGGAGCAAAATCTCACAGTACTTCATGGGGATAATCTTACCCTTCAGTGTAATGTAGTTGGTCAACCTCAACCAACAGCCACCTGGATTTTGCCAAACATCAGTCAATATAAAATTGAGGTAAGTGTGCAGTAGAAAAAAATTTGAAAACTATATATTTGGTACTATATATTTTTTCTATGGTTGAACTGGATGGACTTTTGTCTTTTTTCAGCCGGACTAACTATGTAACTATGGTATCAGTCCAAGAATTCTTATGAACAGATGTACAGCAGTATACTATAGTGTTTTTCATGTGTTATCTCTGCAGCATTTGGAAGGTCCGGACACAGAAATGGTATTCCTGCATCTCCACAACATCTCCCCAGGCTTCAATAAGCGGGATGTCACCTGTTGGGCCGAGAACATGGCTGGTCCCAGCAAGAAATTTATTCAGTTGGATGTCCGCTGTGAGTAGACAAACCAATATTTTTTGTATTCTTTGTCCAAGTTCCCTTGAATTCAGAATTCCACCTTAGGACTTATAGACCAGATAGTCTGTGATTAGCTTTGCATCAGTGATACTCATTACATACATTGAAAAGAGACACATCTTTGGAGATCAACCAAAAAAACAAATCCCACCAGCAGTTGGTTCTAGCCATTCCCCATTCTATGCAAAACTAAACATTAAAAATAAAATGAAACAAAAGTCAGAGGTCAGTAAAAGAAAATAGTGAATACATACCAGCCCTGCTCCTCGTGCCATCAATCTTGCTCAGTTGTGAAGCTACTCTTTGGAATTTAACAGTTCTAGAAGTGTTAGATTCTTAGACCCGGCTGTGTGCTATGGTTCCTCTTGCTGAACCTTACCTGCAGCAGGGAAAGAGTCATCCAACACACCCAGAAGCATCTTGGATGCAGAAGATTCTTTGGCAGAGGTAGAGAACAAGATCAGTGGTGCTCTCATAATCTGGAATAAGGCTCAGAGACCAGTAGCTATAGCAGTAGCAAGACATCTTCCAACCATCTGGACAAGTACAGAAGCAGGTCACTCTGGCGGAAGACACAGGTTCATGTGAGGTGCAGAGTTTAAGTACTAACCAGTGTTCACCAGAGCTCCTGATGGTGGAGATGGGTTTTGCTTCACTTTAGTTCCAGGTCGCAGTCCTTGAGATCACCCCACCAGTTGAGGTGAGCAAGCCAGGATCCAGTAGCAGAGAAGTAGGTAGGGATAAGCAGAAGTGTAGTCAGTAAACAAGTCAAAGGTCAGTAACAAGTGGTTGCAGGTTGGGTCGAAAACAAGCCAAGGGTTGGAAACAAGTGATAACAAAACTATGGATGGCAGCAAGACTGACTGCACATGAGGTGAGGAGTTTAAGTACTAACCAATGTTCACCAGAGCTCCTGATGGTGGAGATGGATTTTGCTGTGTGTTGTTACCAGGTAGCAGTCGTTGGGATCGCCCCACCAGGAGGTGAGCAAGCCAGGGTCCAGTAGCAGAGATAGTAGGAAGGGATAAGCAGAAGTGTAATCAGTAAACAAGTCAAAGGTCAGTAACAAGTGGTTGCAGGTTGGGTCGAGAACAAGCCAAGGGTTGGAAACAAGTGATAGCAAAGCTATGGATGGCAGCAAGACTGACAAGAGCAAGATATTGATTGGAGAGAGCACAATAATTTGTCAAACAGGAAGTTCAAAAGGATAGCTTTAATAGGAAGTTCAAGGGAGGAACAAAGAGTTCAAGATTCAAGGCAGGATTATTCAGGGAATTGGCCAGGGAACTGTCCAGAATTCCATGTGGCTCAGCAAGAGACCTTGCAGGGCACAACAGATTTTGCAGGTTCAGATCTGGGCCCTGACAGGTGGTGGCAATGAGAAGGGTAAGTATTTTTTTTCCAGACTGGCCTTTGTTTCATTATTTAAAGTTTTGGCTTTAAATATATTTTATCTGCCATCCTCCCTTCGCTATCCCACTGCTGATGATAAGGAAACACCCCTGTGTTCAAAAATATACAGCTCAGGCTGCAATACTCACTTTCTTCAGCTCGGTCTCCCGCAGACTCCTCTTTGCAGTCCTACGCTGCGTCATTTAACCCATTTTCCATGAGTGCAGGGCACCATGGATTCACCCGGTACAGGTTACTTCCCCAAAGAGGCCTGCACTCACATACGTCGCTCCATTTCCTCAAACTTAACCTGTCCAAAACCGAGCTCCTGGTCTTCCCCCCACCAGCGCCCCCCCATCCTCTCCATCACTACTAACAACGCCACCATCACTCCCAGCCCACATGCCAAAGTCCTCGGTGTCATCCTGGACTCCCAGCTCTCCTTCCTACTCCACGTCCAATTGCTATTAAGATCATGCAGGCTCCACCTCCGCAACATCTCCAAGATACGTTCATTCCTCACCCCAGACACTACCAAACAACTTGTACACTCCCTCATAATCTCACGCCTGGACTATTGCAACTCCCTTCTCACTGGCCTACCCAAACGAACGCTATCCCCACTCCAGTCTATGCTGAACTCAGCGGCGAGACTCATCCACCTCACCAACCGCTCCACATCCGCCACCCCCCTCTGCCAATCCCTTCACTGGCTCCCGATTGCCCAACGCATCAAATTCAAACTGCTAACCCTGACCTACAAAGCCATTCACAACGCCGCCCCAAACTACATAACCGACCTGATACCCAAATACCACCCTACCCGCGCCCTTCGCTCCTCACAGGACCTCCTACTCTCTAGCTCCCTGGTCTCCTCCTCCCACGCCCGATTGCAGGATCTCTCCAGGACCTCCCCCATCCTCTGGAATTCCCTACCCCAATCCATCAGACTGTCACCTACCCTCATCACCTTCAGGCTCACCCTGAAGACCCACCTCTTCAGGGAAGCCTACCCCACCCTCACCTAACAACTGACCTCCTCCACTCCTCCTACCACTTCATTCCCCACAGCCATTTCTTCCTGTACCACTGCAGAGAGCAGCACTGATGTCAACAAGTCAGTGATGATCTGTTCATTATTGAGGACCACCTAGAGGTGGATATGGGATTAAGAGGAAGCAGGCCATCCTGGGGTTGGTAGGGTGGAGTTGGACTTTAAGGGAACTTTATTGGTTTTATCTTTTCATTACAATTATACCAGTAAATTGAGATTTTTCATAAATCAGACATATAAATTACATTTTAAGCATAGTGAATTTGGTATCCTTAGACATTAGTACATGGTTGCTTAGGTAGCTTCAGCATTTCAGTGACTGAGTTGTAAGTCTAAAGATGTTCTTTAAGCATGTCCTCATTTGGAATTTTTGCCATCTGTGTAACGTTTGCTATATTGTCACATATATCTCTTTCTATCTTAGTCCCGGCAGTGGTGGTAGAGTTAGGGGAAGCAGTCCTGCAGCACCACGTCTGTATCCCTTTCACGATAGATGGGAACCCTGCCCCTGATCTCAGCTGGCAATTTAATGGGCAAATTCTAGACATGTATGACTTTCAATACACAAAGATCTTGGAGTACAGAGAAAACGGTACACTTATCCATGGCTGCCTGTACTTTAATAAACCAACACACGTCAACAATGGCAACTATACCCTTCTGGTGTGGAATGAGCTAGGAAGAGACAGCAAAAGTGTGTACAGCACATTTATGGACAACCCTTTTGACTTTAATCCAGAGGAACCTATCCCAGGTGAGAAGATACCACAATTCTAGACCATGACTTGACCATCACACCTACCTAAATGGCCAAATGTATGTGAATTAACAAGTTCAGGTGTTTTTCAGTGATGGTTTTTTTTTAATATTTGGAAAGGTCTTATTGTGTTCCATCATGATTGTATCATGTGTGAAAAGCCAGCTCCATAAAGACATGGTTTGATGAGTTTGGTGTTGAGGAACTTGAGTGACCTGCACAGAGCCCTGACCTCAAAACTATTGAACACCTTCGAGTTAAATTGGGATGCTGGTTGCGAGCCAGTTGTTCTCATCCAACATTACTACTTGACCTCATAAATGTTCTTTGGGCCAAATGGGCACAACTTCCACAGACACACTTTGAAATCTCGTAGAAAACCATCTCAGGTGTGTGGAGCCTGTTATAGCTGCAAAGAAGGGGAAACTCCACATTAATGGCCATGGTTTTAGTATGAGAAGTCCAAAAAAAGATACAGTCGGTGTGATGATCAGTTGTATCCATTATCCATTATGAAATCACAACTCTAGATTACGGGTTTCTTTGACCCCATGTAGGAAAGGGACTAACCAGGACAAGGAATGAGGGAAAAGGGGGAGGAGATCACTGTGTCAGATATGTACACCATAGAAACCTAATGGAGGCCCTAACCCTTCTTATCTCTAATAAAAAGTTTTTCGTAGCGGTTTCTCTCCCCATTGGAAATTTTTGCCCTCATATCTTCTCCCTCTGATTTCCCATAATCAGGACAGGAAGTGGAGACAACATTTCTAATGGAGACAAAACAATGAAAATCTTGATAGACGTTCTAGGACTTTCCTGCTCTATACAAAAAAAAAAACTTTGGCTGAAGTTGGCTTTAAAAGACATTTTTTAAAGCCTAATATGCTAAAAGCAGGGGTTTCCAAACTGCGGCCCTTTGGGTTGAATGTGGTCTTTTGCTTGCCTTTATCCAGCCCTTGGGACACTATGCCTTCCACTGACACAAAAGATGGGGCACTAATCCTCTCACTGACACCAATGATGAGGCACTTTTACTCCCACTGACCATCAAGCCTATGGCAGTGTTTACTCACCAGCAATGCTAGGACATTTTCTACTCCCACTGGCCACAGTGTGGCCCCCTAAAGTCTGAATGGCAGTAAAGTGGCCCTTTGTTTCAAAAGTTTGGAGACCCCTGTTCTGGAGACTCCCAGACATGTAGGCTAGTTGTGTAGATGTCATGATAATCCTCTAGCACAGAGGTCTCCAAACATTCGAAACAAAGGGCCAGTTTACTGCTGTTCAAATATCAGGGAGATCAGCGGGTGTAGAAAATGCCTTGGCATTGGTGGGAGTAAAAAATTCCATAGGCTTGGTGGCCAGTAGTAGTAAAAAATTACAATATTGGTGTCAGTGGAAGGAATAGTGCCCCATCATTGGATTGTAAGCTCCAAGGAGCAGGGCCCTCAACTCCCTCTTGTATTGAACTGTATTGTTGCTGTATCGTCTCCTGTTATATTGTAAAGTGCTGAGCAAACTGTTGGTGCTATATAAACCCTGTATAATAATAATAATAATCATCTGTGGGAGGAATAGTGCCCCATCAGTGGGAGGAATAGTGCCCCATCAGTGGGAGCAATAGTGCCCCAGCACTGATGTAAGTGGAAGGAATAGTGCCCCATCATTGGTATCAGTGAGAAGAATAGTACCCCTTCATTGGTGTCAGTGGGAAGAATAGTGCTTCATCAGTGGGAGGAATAGTGACCCATCATTGATGTCAGTGGAAGGAATAGTGCCCCATCATTGGTGTCAGTGAGAAGAATAGTGCCCCATCATTGGTGTCAGTGGGAGGAATAGTGATCCATCAGTGGGAGGAATAGTTTCCCATCATTGGTGTCAGTGGGAGAAAGAGTGCGCTATCAGTGGGAGGAATAGTGCCAGATCTTTGGTGTCCGTGGAAGGACTAGTGCCTCATATCAGTGAAAGGAATAGTGCAAGGGCTGGATAAAAGCAAGCAAAGGACCACATTCAACCCAAGGGCCGCAGTTTAGAGACATCTGCTCTAGCATCATCATGTTGACATTGAACAAAGGACAGAGACCTTTACTAGGGGCCACACAACCCACCTGCAAATACAAAAACCTCTTATTCACTTCAACCCATCCAAAATAATTTATTCTCAATAATAACACTTTAATGAGCCTTCATTGTGTTGTTTTCTTAAATTTTGCTTAAGAAATTTCTCTTTCAAAATGCAACAATGTTATAATTTTTTTGGGGAGGTTGTCTTTTTAAGGAAACTAACAATTTTTTGCATAACTCCAATGACATAATATCTTTTTTTTATATTTCAGTGTCGCTGTCTCCCGAGGGTAAGTGCTCCTACTTAATTGTGTTTGTCAACTAGCTCATTAATATTTGAATACCATTATAATGTTTTGCTTCTCTCAAGATTGCAAATTGTCTTTGCTACATAAATGGAGACTTCAAGAGACATACTAAAAGTTTTGTGTCTGAGATGTGCCAGCTCCTGGCAGATACATATTGCACATTAAATTTATAATTATCATAGACAAGTAAGTGTCTAAATGAACATTTGGGGTGCACGTTTGACAGCTGGTGCAAAGAAAACTTGAAGGTGTTGTTTACAGTGACAAATCCCATTCCAGCTGTCACAATCTAGTTGGATGCTGTGGAAGATTTCATCTAGCTGGTTGTTGAGGAAGATTGCCCTATTTTTTCTATACTTTGGGGTTTTTTTTTTCCATTCCCCAGTAGATAGGACACTAATGTTCTGAGAAGCTGGTCGCAAGAGACAGCAACAGAAAATCAGCCCTGGAGAAAATAATGGAAGGATGGGCTACATGATTAAGGGGATGAATAGTCACAGGAAAAAGATTAACCTATAGTATGTGAGATGGTAATGTTAGAACAAAAAGTTTTACCTGATTGGAGGTTGTTGGTCAAATGGCAGAGAAGAGCAACAAGGTTGGGGACTGAATGTTGCTGGGAAGTCAGACCAGAAAGGTTGGCCAAATAGTGAGGTTGTCCCACATTCCCACCTATCTTCAATTACCAGCATTAAAGGGGCGTTTTTCTCATCATTTGAGGGTCTTTGGGTGTCTGTCTGTGGAAGACTTGGAATCATAACAAAATGGGGCCTATCAAGTGGTATGGCACTCCATTTTGGCAGATAGTTGGTTCTACCAAGGGCTTGGCTCAATTCAGAACTGTCCTTGATATGGTGGGGATGAGCCTTAAGACAGGGGTGGTGGTTAGTTAAGGTTTTTGTTAGTGGACACATAAACACTCTCTGCTGGCAAAACGTGTCTGTTGATGTTTGATACGTTTTATGCGTTTACGTTTTATGTGTTTAGTTTGGAAGGAATATGATAGGAACAACATCAACAAATCTATCAGTCAAGAGAATTGTAGGGAAAATGTGTGTTTTATTACAGGGAAGCGACTTATTTCTGCAGCCAATGGAGCTAGGACACATAGCCCTGTATTGCCAATGAAGGGTCTAAAATGAGAAGGAACCTTCAGCAAGAACAATTAAGGTCTAGTTGTATAGACACAGTAGGTTCCTGCCTACCATTGCTGGATATCCCTGTTGAGCAAATCTCAGTAAGGATGACCTAACTGAACCCAAGTTACCCTGACAATCCTACTAAACTGAAGTTGGAGATTGTAAAATAGTTCATGACATATATTTTGTGCAGAAACGGTATCTTCTAAAGGGGCTTAGGAGACATTCAGGAGAGCTGACTAATCAGTACCTTTTGCCTGGGCACCAATCCTCCCCATTTACAGATACCATGTGACCCTTGTGGTTGTAAAACTTTCTTTTTTTCGAATTTGCTGCTGTGACCTCCTCCTCTGCCATCTAATGTTGGCTACCAACTTTTCAACTTTAAAACATAAATTTATTTCCTGTGTATATATAGTTACCAGGGGCGGACTGACCATTTGGAAACTCGGCACTGCCCGAGGGCCTGGGGTCAGTAGGGGGCCCCATGAGATGCCCCTGGTACCTTTGTCATAGGCTTTTTTGAGTTCAACAAGAGGAACCAGTGAAAGCTGTGGGGAATGCAGGAGACTGATACTGCTAGAAGTGTTGGTTTCCCAGTGAACTTTGGGAGATAATTGTTCAGGATTGAAGCAGTGGGAAAGACAAATATTCTCTCTCTGTTCTTCGCAAGCTTACTTAATACATTTTATTTATGTGAACGGCAGGGGCGGACTGACCACTTGGAAACTTGGGCACTGCCCGAGGGCCCGGGGTCAGTAGGGGGCACCATGAGATGCCCCTGGTACCTTTTTCATAGGCTTTTTTGAGTTTGGGCAAGGACACAGGGGCCCCATGATCCCCTATTGCCCGGGGGCCCCATGAGTTGTCAGTCCGCCCCTGATAGTTACTATACATAGTTGATAAGGTTGAAAAAAGACAAAGTTCCATCTAGTTCAACCAGCGTGTGTTCTCTTCTGATGCTATATTGGTGAGTGGACAACCCCTGGATTAACTCCAATCAAATTCAAGGAGAATTTCCACAGCCTTGGAAATTCTCCTTGAATTTGATTGGCGTTATTCCAGGGGTTGTCCACATGCCAATATAGCATCAGAAGAGAACACACCCTGGTTGAACTAGATGGACCTGCGTCTTTACTGGAAATGTAGGAAGAGAATTTTACATTTCCAGTAAAGAGACCCTCTCTTGCAGTTGCAGATTAAACATCTTTTCATTCAATCTTATATGGTGGCCATGTGTCCTCTTGAGGGACTTTAAGAGTAGACAAGTCATTACAAATAATATATTCACCTTTATAAATGCATACAGTACATTGTGATCATACCCCTCCTTAAGCACCTCTTCTCCAGAGTAAATAATTGTAATCTTTGTAATCATTCATAAGTAAGGTTCTCCAACCCTCTTACTATTGTTCAAGTTTGAGAACATCCTATCTGTGGTTTGGTGACCAAAACTGATCTGCATATTCAAGATGAGGTCTAACTAGTGGCAGAATTATTGTAAATATTGTAGTATTGGGAAGATTATACTCATGTCGTAGGTGCTTCTTTTTTTTGGACCAGATCAAACTGTGTTTAAGGGCATGGCAGCCCACTTTTATGAAAGTGTTACTAAACCTACAACAGTAAAATCAGTCTGTACAAACTAAAATTCTTTTTAGATAATAAAATTTCAGGCTCAAAACAAGCACTCAGTAAAAATACATGTTAATACCCCTTTAAACTTGTCATTGCAGATATATTGCCTCCTCTCATCTGTATGGTTCACTATTCCGAACAGACAATCCTCCTTACATTGTCCATTGTACCTTGGATTTATAAAGTGTATTTGGATGTAATAGAATAAAAAGGGCTTCTTATCATCTTGTTAATATGAGTTAGTTTCATTTCTTCCTCTGACGAAATATAATAAGAAACCTGACTGAGGAATCAGCCTTGCCCGGGGGGATATCTGGACTATGACAAAATGGAGCCTGTAGATTAAGCAAATGGCAGGGATATACATATCCCTATTCCTAATATCTGACAGTTGTACTAAGTGATGATATCATATATTAACCCGTGTGGGTTCCTTGTAACTTGAAGCTTGTTGGGCCACCATAGAGCAGTGACCGATGAGCCAAACCTTGTCCAACCATGTCATATCTCAACGTTTAGTCTTTCCTGGCAATAGCAGTATGTAATATGGGTGAAAACTGGTAAGAATAATTACAAATAATTTGAGTCATTAGAGTTAAAATTAGATGAAAGGGTGAGCCAACTCATCCTAAGATATTAATTGTTAATTATGGGTGGAGCTTGTTGGGCTGAGTCAGCCCTTGGCTTCTTATAGGTCTTGGATGCTCCAACAGCTAGATCTCCTTGCCAAAATTCACAACTATGTTTCTGACCACCTACGAGTTTTGGTGCCCCCACCCACCTCAGCTTTCAATGTGTTTCAGTGGGGTTCCCAAAAGTTATATGAAGCCAGGAAATGATTCAGAGTCAGCTCCCACACATAAATGAAAAATGATATTTCTGTAATACGTACTATGATTATTACTTGGCCTTCAACATTTTTATTATTATACAGTATTTATAAAACGCCAACAGTTCGCTCAGCGCAGTACATTACAATGGGAGACAGAACATGCGACAGTACCAGGAGTGGACTGACAACTCATGGGGCCCCCAGGCAATAGGGGATCATGGGGTCCCTGTGTCCTTGCCCAAACTCAAAAAAGCATATGAAAAAGGTACCAGGGGCATCTCATGGGGCCCCCTACTGACCCTGGGCCCTCGGGCAGTGCCCAAGTTTCCAAATGGTCAGTCCGCCCCTGGACAGTACAATAACAATACAATGAGATACACGAGGGGTTTGAGGGCCCTGCTCCTTGGAGCTTACAATCTAGAAGGGAGGGGATAGTGGTACAGGAGGAGATAGCTGTGGGGAATGGAGTGGTAGGAAGAGTGGAAGAGGTCAGGAATTAGCAGGGGGTGGGGTAGGCTTCCCTGAAGAGGTGGGTTGTCAGGGTGCGCCTAAAGGAGAGGAGAGTAGGTGATAGTCTGATGGATTGGGGTAGGGAGTTCCAGAGTATGGGTGACACCCTGGAGAAGTCCTGGAGGCGGGCATGGGAGGAGGAGACTAAATGTCAGGGACCATCGCGACGCATGGGTCTACACATGCGTAGGCGTCTGTCAAGACGTGCAGGTAGCAGGGCACTAGGACCCAGGCGCACCCGTCGTCTTGACAGTACTAGGCAGGCACTGGGACCTAGGCGGCGCCTGTCAGGTTCAGGGCGGGCTACTTAAACCAGCCCTGCACAGACGCTTGTTGCCGAATGGTCTTTGCGTATCCTGTTGCCTGTGTAGTGAGTACTCTGATCTGGATTGTCTGACCTTGTTGCCTTCTCCTGTCCTGACCCCATGGCTTGCCTGACTCTGCTCCTGGATGTTCCCTTATAGATCTGATCTTTTGGTATTGACCCTGCATGTGACCCGACTATCCTTTGCCTATCGTCTTGTACCGCACCGACCCGCTAGTTACCGACACGGCCTGTTTGACTCTGACTTTGCTCATCCGTCCATCCATCCCTCAGGGATCCCTGGGCTCCCTCACATCAGACTCTTAACCCGCTGGAGCCCTTGGCAGACTCCTCTACCTCTGGTAGAGATACCTAGCAGCTGCGACCTGGTCCCGTAGCGCTCCAAGTCCATCCCCACCATCAGGGGCCCTAATGAACAAGTGCTCCGGTACTTAGACTCCGCACTCTAGGGAGGCTCTATCAGGGGACTGATAGAGGTACTGTCAGGCGGTCCGTTACACTAGGGAACTAGAGAGAAGGAGGTCTTATGAGGAGCGGAGAGTGCGTGTAGGGTGGTACTTGGATATTAGGTCTAAAAAAATAAAGTACATCTATAGAATGTATATCCTATCAATTTACATTATGATCAGGGATTGCCTATCATCATAAGATCAGACTTTCCAAGTAATTTATGACTTTTTCATTCTGTATTTATCAGTAACATTGGATTACAATGAAAGAAGGTTGTAATTATAGCTTGGGGATGTGTGTAATAGACTGCCAGTGCAACTCAAAGGAGCTCCAATCTACAATCCAAGGTTATCTTAAGATAAGATATACAATATTTCCATATGAGCTTCATAAAAAAAATAGACGTAAAGCTACTAAGTGCTCTAATTTTCCATTATTGCTTTATTGTGTAGGCGGAGGCAACAGCACCTACGGGAACCCCATCGAGACAGTGGAGGACAACACATTTGGGGTGAGTTTATGTGTTTTTAATTTGCTACATGACGAACGTTAAAATTGTCGCTTCCCATCTAATTGTGCTTCCAGCTATGTTGTCTCTAAACCAGGGGCGGACTGACCGTTTGGAAACTCGGGCACTGCCCGAGGGCCCGGGGTCAGTAGGGAGCCCATGAAATGCCCCTGGTACCTTTTTCATAGTCTTTTTTGAGTTTGGGCAAGGACACAGGGGCCCCATGATCCCCTATTGCCCGGGGGCTCCATGAGTTGTCAGTTTGCCCCTGCTGCCATGTGATTGGCTTATTAGCAATTTGTGCTACCAAGCAATTGAACAGCTGTACCTAATGAAGTGCCCAGTGAGAGTAGAATGAATGCTATGAAGCCAAGCTACGAAAGCACACTTTACAAAGGAACCACAAAACGATTTTATCGCTCAGTACATGACAGCAAACTGGCAAAAGAGACTTGACCTCCGTTGGAACAGATCTTGACTAGTTCGCACATAATGTTTTTTTTAGCTTCATTAAGTGGTCATTTTACATAGAAAAAGCACAGCCTGGAGTTCTTCTATCATAAAATCGCTGGGTTCTAATTCAATCACACCTTAAGGAACCACAAGAGCCATTCGAAGCAATTATCCTGACACATGTAAATTAAGTCCATTTAACAACCTGTAAATTTGTCGGCCATTAGTAAAAGAAAAAAAAAATCAGGTCTAGGGGGAAGCAAAACCACTAAGTGATATTCAGTAAATACTGGTTTTCTGCTAAAAACTTTATAAATGCAAACTAAGGTCTTCTGGGGTCTTTGATAAATTGAATCATATTAAAATTTACGAGCAGAATTTCTGCCAAGACCTTGTGGTAAGCCCTGCTCTTCTCCGATCATGTTGTACTCTAGACCCCCCACCCAAATAAAGACACACATTCCAAATGAGAATTTAAAGGGATACTATATTATTGGTAATGATTTTATATATATATATATATATATATATATATATATATATTAAACTGATTCTTAAGTTGTAATTTAAATAATTTTATAAATTAGGTTTTTTTTTTCGTTTTCACCTTATTAAAAAAACTGCACCTTTTTTCTGGTGCTGTCCCACACAGACCTACCACTCTGTGATCCAGCACCAGCCTTCTTTTGGGTTTGATGAAGCTCAACATCATTTAACCGACTTCCAGTGAGCCCAAGAGGTCAAAGACCTGCCCCTTGGGGGATATGTCACCAGGCAGTCCTGGACTCATGGTAAACTTTTTGCAGAGTGGCTCCAAGTCATTACATGGTTCTGCTCAGGATCTTCCCACTGCTGGGGGAAGAAAACGATCCCGAACTTGGGAAAAAAAATATCTATCTATCTATCTGGTCCCTAACCCTCAAGGGGTGTACAATCTAAGGTCCCTAACCCTCAAGGGGTGTCCAATCTAAGGTCCCTAACCCTCAAGGGGCGTAAAATCTAAGGTCCCTAACCCTCAGGGGGTGTACAATCTAAGGTCCCTAACCCTCAAGGGGCGTACAATCTAAGGTCCCTAGCCCTCAAGGGGCGTACAATCTAAGGTCCCTAACCCTCAAGGGGTGTACAATCTAAGGTCCCTAACCCTCAAGGAGAGTAGAATCTAAGGTCCCTAACCCTCAAGGGGCGTACAATCTAAGGTCCCTAACCCTCAAGGGGCGTACAATCTAAGGTCCCTAACCCTCAAGGGGCATACAATCTAAGGTCCCTAACCCTCAAGGGGCGTACAAACTAAGGTCCCTAACCCTCAAGGGGTGTACAATCTAAGGTCCCTAACCCTCAAGGAGAGTAGAATCTAAGGTCCCTAACCCTCAAGGGGTGTACAATCTAAGGTTCCTAACCCTCAAGGGGCGTACAATCTAAGGTCCCTAACCCTCAAGGGGCATACAATCTAAGGTTCCTAACCCTCAAGGGGCGTACAATCTAAGGTTTCTAACCCTCAAGGGGCGTACAATCTAAGGTCCCTAACCTTTAAGGGGTGTAAAATCTAAGGTCCCTAACCCTCAAGGGGTGTACAATCTAAGGTCCCTATCTCACATTCATACATACACATACTAGGGACAATTTAGACAGGAGCCAATTAACCTACCAGCATGTCTTTGGAGTGTGGGAGGAAACCGGAGTACCCACGCAGGCACAGGGAGAACCTGCAAACTCCAGGCAGGTGGTGCCGTTCACTACCAGCAATTCTCTAGGGACAAGATTGCCAAAAGAACCTTGAGAATGCTCACCTGCTCCTATGGCATCATGTCCTCGTTGGCCAAACCTGTGCGATGTGTGGTTCCTTCAATGGCGGTTGAGATTTTGAAGTTTCTTGGCCAATGAAAGAAAGGCAGGTGAGTATTCTCACCAATCCATCAACAGCTCTCCAGCGACAAGGATAGCCAATGGGACTTTGCCCTTACAAAACTGTGTTTTTCATATCCGTTTATACATTTTCCAGATGATTGTGCAGCTGTGAGCAGCTCCAGTGAACCGTTTATCCCTTGTGACTTAACACTTAGCAAGTGATAATGCTCAGGAATTGAAGTAGAACAGGATCACTGAGCATATTGTGTTTCCCATCAGGTCTCTGTGGCTGTGGGACTGGCCATCTTCGCCTGCTTCTTCCTTCTCCTCCTGCTGATTGTGCTCAACAAGTGTGGAAGACATTCAAAGTTTGGAATCAATCGTAAGTTTGTTTCATGTACATCATATATATGCATTTCAGCTCTAAAGAACCTAAATAAGTACTTGACCTCCAGAGGATTTACCCCCCTTAATGACCACGCCTCTTTTTGCTACTCGGCGCTGCACTAATTCAACTGTTAATTGCGCGGTCATGCAATGCTGCACCCAAACGAAATTTACGTCCTTTTTTCACACAAATAGAGCTTTCTTTCGGTGGTATTTGATCACCTGTGCGCTTTTTATTTTTCACATTATAAACAAAAAAAGGCCAAACATTTTGAAGAAAAACAATATTTTTTACTTTCGGCTATAAATAATATATAGTAAACTCAAAGTTGGTTATAAATTTAGGCCAAAATGTATTCTGCTCCATCATTTTGGTAAAAAAAATCCCAATAAGTGTCTATTGATTGCCTTGTGTGGAAGTTATAGCGTCTACAAACTATGGTATAGATACTGCAATTTACGCCATTTTTTTGCTATACAGCGCTGCGCTAGTTTAACGGACAATTGCGCGGTCATGCAATACGGTACATAAATGAAATTTACATCCTTTTTTTCCCACAAATTGAGCTTTCTTTCGGTGGTATTTGATTGTCTGTGCGGTTTTTATTTTTTGCGCTATAAAAAAAAAAGGCTGACAATTTTGAGGAAAAAAAACAATATTTTGGACTTTTTGCTATAAAACATGTCCAGTAAAAAAAATGTAAAAATCAAATTTAGTCATAAATTTCTACCAAAATGCATTCTGTGACATGTCTCTGCTAAAAAAAAAACCCCAATACGTGTAAATTAATTGGTTTACGTGAAAGTTATAGCGTTTACAAATGGCGGGAAAGATACTGGGATTTTTAGGGTTTTTTTTTATACTAATAATGGCGGCGATCAGTGACTTATGGTGGCGACCAGCGACTTATGGCGGAACTGCGGCGGACATTCTGACATTGGGGGGTACTGACTTGGGGTCACTGACATCCCCAGTGACACCAATACAGTGATCAGTGCAAAAAAAAAACCACTGACACTGTACTAATGGCACTGGGGAGGAAGGGGTTAGCTTTATTTTGCAGGGAAGGGTTATCTGTGTGAGGGGAGTGTTTTACTAGGGGGGCGGGGTGTGTGCTGGATGGGGACAGGCTGATCGGGAGAGAGAAACTCTTCTGTCCCATCACCGTGTCCTGGAGCTGTCAGGGAAGTGACAGAAAGCACAGCTACTGCAGCTGTGCTCTCTGTCACTGATTGCCGCCGATCGCCGGGAGATAGCCGGTAATGACCGGCTGTGACCCGGCGACTGACATCCGCGGCTGTGATCAGCGGGACAGGTAGGGCGGCGGCGCGCCTCGCGCGCGCCCCCTACCTGTTTACAAAACACACGTTTTAAAACGTGGTTTTGCCTGCCCGTATTTATACAGTGGCTGGGCGGCATGTGGTTAAAATCATTCTTCTTAGCTGTTAACATGACTGCTATGCTAATGTATTGTAATCTTGAATCTGGGATAACAAGTGTGGCCAATGGCATATGAAGATTGCTATACCTAAACCTGAAATCTAGATAAAATGAAATAAAGCAGCGCCAAAAACATGAATATGTGAATAAAACGTGTTCTCTGAAATGTTCCACAAATATATTCTAATATAAATAAGCGTCCAAAGACATTCAAATGAAGAGATCTTCCATCAATCCAGTAGATCCTCTCCATGCTTGGAAATCACCAAATGCCACACTATTAACAAAGTGAACCCCGGACCATAAGCGTTAAAGCGGAGTTCCACTCAAAAACTGTAGCTGCTGACTTTTAAAAAACAGCCACTCACCTGTCCCACGATCCCGCGTTGCCCCCGCTGCAGCCCGTTTCACCGGCCGTCCTGTATTCCAGGTGCCTGTATCTTCAGTGTGGGCACCCAGCTGTGACAGCTTCACAGCCGGGTACCCTCTGCACATGCGTGAGCAGAGCTGCGCTCCCTGAATGGCCCCGTCCTCATCTGGAACCTGTCAAGTGTCCCACGAGACTTCTGGGAAGGAGGGTAGGAGGACAACTTCCGCTTCCGATCACCTAGGTCAGCGGTTCTCAACCTGGGGGTCGCGACCCCTTTGGGGGTCGAACGACACTTTCCCAGGGGTCGCCTAAGACCATCGGAAAACACATATTTCCGATGGCCTTAGGAACCGAGACACCGCTCCTTGATCCGTCTGCAGGTGTGGGCGGGATGACATGCCGTCCCTGTCATCTGGACACACCCCCGGGATCAATCCTTCCTCGTCGGTGATTGGCCGCCGGAACTGTAGCTCAAGAGAGGCACACAGGCGGCCAATCACCGGCGAGGAGGTGGAGCTTGGAAAGGAGGAGCCGAGCGGCACCGCGAAGCACGAGCGAGTGAAGAGGAGGAAAGCGGCCGGAGAAGGAAGCCATCTGACCGGTAAGTGTTTGTACCATGGGAGAGGGAGGGAGCGAGCGAGCCCAGGCTGGAGCAGGGGTCAGCAAGGTAAGTATCATTGGTGTCAGTGGGAGGAATAGTGCCCAATCATTGGTGTCACTATTACCAATGATGGGGCACTATTCCTCCCCCCACTGACACCAACGATGGGGCACTATTCCTCCCACTGACACCAACGATGGGGCACTATTCCTCCCACTGACACCAACGATGGGGCACTATACTTCCCTCTGATACCAACGATGGGGCACTATTCCTCCCACTGACACCAATGTTGGGGCACTATTGCTCCCCCTGATGCCAACGATGGGGCACTATTCCTCCCACTGACACCAATGATGGGGGCACTATTCCTCCCACTGATACCAATGATGGGGCACTATTCCTCCCACTGACACCAATGATGGGGCACTATTCCTCCCACTGACACCAATAATGGGGCCGTATTCCCCCCACTGACAACAATGATGGGGGCACTATTCCTCCCACTGACACCAGTGATGGGGCACTATTCCTCCCACTGACACCAATGATGGGGCACTTTTCCTCCCACTGACACCAGTGATGGGACACTATTCCTCCCACTGACACCAGTGATGGGGCACTATTCCCCCCACTGACACCAATGATGGGGCACTATTCCCCCCACTGACACCAATGATGGGGCACTATTCCCCCCACTGACACCAATGATGGGGCACTATTCCCCCCACTGACACCAATGATGGGGCACTATCCCCCCACTGACACCAATGATGGGGCACTATTCCCCCACTGACACCTGCGATGGGGCACTATTCCTCCCATTGACACCAACGATGGGGCACTATTCCTCCCCCCACTGACACCAACGATGGGGCACTATTCCTCCCCCCACTGACACCAACGATGGGGCACTATTCCTCCCCCCACTGACACCAACGATGGGGCACTATTCCTCCCCCCACTGACACCAACGATGGGGCACTATTCCTCCCCCCACTGACACCAACGATGGGGCACTATTCCTCCCACTGACACCAACGATGGGGCACTATTCCTCCCACTGACACCAACGATGGGGCACTATACTTCCCTCTGATACCAACGATGGGGCACTATTCCTCCCACTGACGCCAATGTTGGGGCACTATTGCTCCCCCTGACGCCAACGATGGGGCACTATTCCTCCCACTGACACCAATGATGGGGGCACTATTCCTCCCACTGATACCAATGATGGGGCACTATTCCTCCCACTGACACCAATGATGGGGCACTATTCCTCCCACTGACACCAATAATGGGGCCGTATTCCCCCCACTGACACCAATGATGGGGCACTATTCCTCCCACTGACACCAGTGATGGGGCACTATTCCTCCCACTGACACCAGTGATGGGGCACTATTCCTCCCACTGACACCAGTGATGGGGCACTTTTCCTCCCACTGACACCAGTGATGGGACACTATTCCTCCCACTGACACCAGTGATGGGGCACTATTCCCCCCCACTGACACCAATGATGGGGCACTATTCCCCCCACTGACACCAATGATGGGGCACTATTCCCCCCACTGACACCAATGATGGGGCACTATTCCTCCCACTGACACCAATGATGGGGCACTATTCCTCCCACTGACACCAATGATGGGGCACTATTCCTCCCACTGACACCAATGATGGGGCACTATTCCCCCCACTGACACCTATGATGGGGCACTATTCCTACCACTGGCACCAATGATGGGGCACTATTCCTACCACTGACACCAATGATGGGGGCACTATTCCTACCACTGGCACCAATGATGGGGCACTATTCCTACCACTGGCACCAATGATGGGGCACTATTCCTACCACTGACACCAATGATGGGGGCACTATTCCTACCACTGATACCAATGATGGGGCACTATTCCTCCCACTGATATCAATGATGGGACACTATTCCCCCACTGATACCAATGATGGGGCACTATTCCCCCCACTGATACCAATGATGGGGCACTATTCCTCCCACTGACACCAATGACGTGGCACTATTCCTCCCACTGATACCAATGATGGGGCACTATTCCTCCCACTGACACCAATGATGAGGCACTATTCCTCCCACTGACATCAATGATGAGGCACTATTCCTCCCACTGCAAAATTACAGTTATGAAGTAGCAACGAAAATAATTTTATGGTTGGGGGTCACCACAACATGAGGAACTGTATTTAGGGGTCGCGGCATTAGAAAGGTTGAGAACCACTGACCTAGGTGATCGCATCGGAAGTGGGAGAGGGTACCTGTCAAATTTGGGTACTTACCCCCCCCCTGCTCCCCAAAGGTGCCAATCCTTAATGGGGAGTGGGGGACCAATCTTTAAAGCAGAACTTCCCCTTTTGGGTGGTACTACGCTTTAATGAATACAGCATCAAACACAGAACTTCCCAGGATATATGTGCACCTATTCCGGAATAGCCTCCTTTTAGCAGCAGCAAAATTTGGTGCCCACTATAAAGAGATGCCCGTAGCGAA